GGCCTAAGAGATATCTGTCTTGCTTGTGATGGATGTGATTGTCAGCAGTCAATACTCTGCATGGCAGTCGCGCAGAAAAGCTGGAGGCTTTGCATTGGGATCCTTGCAGTTTAAAAATGTCATGATTCTGCCTTGGAGGGCTTCCTTCTCAGAAATGACTTGAGCCTTTCCAGCTGCATCACCAAGTGAAAAGATAGGACACTTCCTTGCAGGCTGCCATTAAGGGCATAATCTGTGACTGCACTGACACACAGTCAGAGTTATAGCCCCTTAGTGTTTACTGGGAGGAGGAACTACTTCAACAAAAATGTGTTAACCAATTACATTTTAACATTCGCCAGTTGTCGATTCTCTTGGGAAAAACTCAAGTGCAGGAATAGTGCCAAAATCCTTGAGGTAGTATGTGACATGCAGTAGAAGTCAGGAATGCGTTCATGGAGAGCCCTTCACTAATCAAGTCTATTCTCATTTATGACTTCCTGGGTCTATTTTATTGTTGCATCCTTTGACTTTTAGAGCAAGCAGACACTTCTGAGGGAGGCCCTAACAGGATTCATCATTCTCTTTAATGAGAATGTCCTCCTGATGTGTGCTGTGTTGAAGGAGATGCTTGTAAGATTAGCAGCTTTTATAAGGAGAAAAGCAGAACATCAATGGAAGCCAAGAATCACTCTACCTGACACCTGGAGGGATTTCAGTATGTACAAGGTAACTTCAACAAACTCACAGCACTCTTACTCTGTTTTTCCTATGCACCTACTTTCCAGAGATTTTCCAGAGAGTATTTCCTACTATTAATTGCATCAGTCAACTACCCCATGCTATAGATTAGAAGACTAGATCAGAATAATCCTAATTCTAAATTGAATTAATTGATGTGCTAATCCATTATTCCCTATGAAAAAAAAGCAAAGCAACACTTTGGAGGAAAACTGCAGGGTGACCTTCAAGAGAGCATCACTGAATAGAAACACCTTCTCTTAAACCCAGATACTGTTGGATCAGATGCTTAGGCCATTACAGCCAGTCATAAGGTGGTGTCTTTTTCAAGTGTGATCCAACATTTATTTTGGTGTATGTTATAGAAATGTGATTTGGCATAGCTTGTGCTCTTCTTCCTTCTACAGTGAACATAACAATAAAATCACAGAGCTAGAATAGTCCTTGAAGGTTTTCTAGTCCAATCTCTTACCTAGGAGAGGAATCTCATTGCCTTAGACAAAATGGCTGTCTGAGAAAAGATCTCCAGTGATAGAGCACCATGATTCCAGGAGGCAGGCTGTCTCACTGCTTAATAGCTCTCGTGATAGGAAATGTCTCCTTATTTTGAGTTTGGATCTTTATTGAGTTTTCACCTATTGGCTATTTTCGTAACTTCAGAAGCTCTGGAGCATAAATCCACACTGTCTTCCCAGTGGCAGCCCTTCAAGACTTTGAAAACTGTGATCATGTTTTGTCGTAGCTTTCTCTTCTTCAAGCTAAACATACCCAGTTCCTTTAGCCAATCTCCACAGGATTTAGCCTCTTCTGCATTCTTTTCAGTTCCTCTGAATCTTTCTTCAACAATGACAACCAGAATTGGACAGATTCTGACCAGTGCCATTTAGAGCATTACTATCATTTTCTGTGACACTGACATACTATTGATGGAGCCCAAGATTACATTGTATTTTTGCCAACTGCAACATTGCTGATTCATGGTTACTCTATAGTTTATCAGGATGCTGAGATACTTTTACAAATACTGTTACTAAGTGATGTATTGCCTATTATGTACCCGGGCATCTAGCTTTTTCCTACTCAAGTGCAAAACCTTAGAGCAGGGATAGGCAACCTTGGCTCTTTTATGAGTCGTGGACTTCAACTCCCAGAATTCCTGAGCCAGCATAGCTGGCTCAGGAATTCTGGGAGTTGAAGTCCACAACTCATAAAAGAGCCAAGCTTGCCTACCCCTGCCTTAGAGGAATCACCAGTGAAATACTTTTTGTTGGGTGGGTCCAACAAAAGCAAAATCCTTCTGAATGTTTAGCCTGTCTTTTGAGGTGTTGGCAGTTCTTCCCGCTCTCATCCTATCTCCATGAGGAAGTTGAAGATGGCATAAGATTCTGACTTACTACAATGGATGTCTAAGTTATAAGATAATTGCTTACCAGTAAAATGGTAAAGAAGTTCTCTTTCTTATTTCTAAAAATATGGCTCTTATTCTTTGCATATGTCAGTTCCCTTCTGAGAAAATAGAGGTTCCCCTAAATGATAAGTGAATTTCCTTGTATTAATGACTAGAAAGAAGACTTAGTTCTTATTAAAGAAGTTGGCTTGAAAATACATACAACATTTCCCACTTTCTTTCTCCGTGTTTCCAATAAACTTTGCTTTCTGTGGTCTCTGTTGAGATTAATAATCCTGTGAATCAATCCCACCTGATAATATATGCAATTGGATTTCAGTTTATGTTTGTTTTATTGTTTTAGTTGCCTTTCTGCTGAAAGCTTACTTCTCTTTTAAATGCATTTAAGGGCTCATTCACAGTGCTTGCCTCCATCCCAGAGCCAGGAAGAAATCACACTGGCATAAATCATGCTGCACCTGCAGCATACATTTAATGCACATCCAGGAAAGAAATTCCTCCAGGCCAGGCTGCCAGGTCCTTCCAAATACACTTTCAATTATACTCATTAAGACTAGGACAGATTAGTCAGTTTCAGGGCTTAGTATTTCCTTGATCAGCGGGTCACCCAATTCATAAAGACTGAAAGGAAATGGCTGAGGATACTGGGGTTTCTGTCTTCCTCCTCCCTTTGGAAATAGCAAGCCCAGGAATCATAACGTTGGCAGTCCTGGTGCTGCATTAATGGTAGCCAAGCAGATCACCACTTCCAACTGCATTATCTCAAGCCTTCTCTCCCCCTGTGCCACAGGTTGTCCAGATTAGAGATCTTTCATTTTCCAGGGAAAACCATTTTTAAATTGGAATATCAAGGATTGGTTTCAACCTGTCTTAGCAGTGGGTTTTTTAATTACATGGGGGCTCTCTTGTGTCTTAGCAAATGGTTTAAGTGGGACATGTTCACCTTGTAGCAAGCAAGTTGTGTAGATGAGCCTGAGATTACCATGCTACAATATACAGCCTTCCCTTTTGACCCTTTAAACAAACTTTAGACTAGTTTATAATGAAGCCACTCTACTATACTGATAGATTTTTTATATCAAATATTTTGGCACAGGTACAGTCTGGCCACAGTTACATATACTTGTAAAAAGACCCAGTGAAGGAGTGGATGTGTAATACTCTATCTAGTCACATCGGACACAGCGTGACTGTATATTGAGTACTAAATCATAACGAAGATTTGTTATGGGTACCGCATGGAAGTTCACAAACAATGGCTTGGTTTATTAGCCAGTCAGCCATTACTTGCATTTGCAGAGAGCTGAAAATGAAAGTTCTAATAATGAAAATCAAAGAGCACAGTGAAAAATGGGCCTAAGATTAAATATAAAGATCAAACTCATGACAGCAGGTACAACAACCAGCCTTAAAACTGACAATGAAGATACCGAAGTAGTTGATAGTTTCTGCCTTTAATCAACTATCAACAATAAATGACTCAGCAGTCAAGAAATGCACCACAGGCTAGCACTTGGAAGATCAGCCATGAAGGTTTGGAAAAGAGATTCAGATGCTGTGATGTGTCTATACCTAAAAAGGTCAGAACTGAGCAACCAATGTTTTTTCTGTGACACTCTAGGTGAAAGTTGGAATCTGAAGAGGCAAGACAGAGAATTGATGCTTTGGAACTTTATGTTGGAAAAAACTCCTGAGAATACACTGGCTAGCCAAGAAAAGAAACTGATAGATCTGCTCAGAGTTCCCGCTCAAGGCACAAATGAGCAGAGTCAAATTATCCTATTTTGGACACCGTATGTGAAGATCTATCTCTCTGGGGAAGGCTCTACTGCTGGGAAAGATTGAAGGAAAGAGAAGAGGACAACCAGCTGCAAGGGGGGGTGGACTCAGTTACAGTGGCAGAGAGTGAACAATTAGAAGACCTGAAGGACTGGGTTGGAGAAAATCCAAGCTAGGAAAACAATCTTTTTGGGGGGTTGCTAAGAATTAATACTGATTAATTATGTTGTATTTACAATCCCCTTCTCCGAATCTACCCTCAAGCCTAGGAAGATCCTGGGAAGTAGGATCTTATCTCACATGAGGAGAAAATAAGAAACAGCAGCAAGTATTGCTCCTGCTGTCTTAAAATGTCTCCAGCCATTTCTTACCTGGTTCAAAACTGCAAAAAAAAAAAGAAAAGAAAAAAAGTGCATTTGCACCATGCAGATGAAAGGCCACCCTAACAAATTATACTCTGGTGATGATATCTTAGTGTTGCAAAAAGTGATTGTCTGACTTTTGGAAATTACATATAAAAGCAAAACAAAATTCAGGCCCTGGGCAATTGGCATGTCCTCCCAGGACAACTTGGATCTGCCAAAGCCTTCTTTTGCCTAACCATTAAGCAGAGATGGCCCCTGATTTCCCTTGAATTTGGTCAGCTGTTAATAAAATCAGATTTACAAACTGCATTTTTTAAAATTAACTGATAATAAGTGGAATGTCTGTTATGAAACTTTGAGTATGGTATCTACATTCACGTCTTTGGGATTTGAGTGAAGTGTTGAAAGTTTTCCAATGATAAGTGATTCACTAGGATTAATCAATCATGGCAAACCTAATTTACTAAAATGTCCTCAAAACATCAGCTGTGTTAAGATACTATAGCATTTATTGTAAAATCAGCTAATTGGGCAATTAATCAGTTAAAAACCGCTAGTTAATTGAGTTAAATTCCTTTAATTGTCTTACCACAAATGTTTCTCTAATTAAAGGAATGGTTTCAAGAGACCTCTTGAAGTCTCTTCCAACTGTCTTGTGTACATCAGCCCTATCATTAACCATTCTTTGTACCTCCTGCAATGCAACTAGCATGGGGAGCTTCCCATGGCAGGTAGAACCTGCTGCCAGCCAAGCTCTCCAACAGGGTTGTGCAAAAACGTTTTGATTTGAGGAAGCTTCAGTCAGATCACACACTGAAGTTGGGTTTGAGAGTTGAAACAGGGACTTCAAAGCTGATTTTATTCTTGATACATGTTTATGCTCTCATGTTAAGATGTAATCTGCTAGGAGTCATTAAGAATTAGAAATAAATAAATAAATAAATAAATAAATAAATAAATAAATAAAAAAGGCATTAATACAAATGTTTTATAGCCTTTTGGTGCCTTTCTGATTCTAGGATTGTTATATTGACACTGGGCAGCCAAAAAGAGGTATCTCCTGATGCAAGTCTTGGCATATCAGAGATGTTTTGAGGTGACAATATTTTGGGCTCTGCCCTGTGGCCAGCCTCAAGCTTTAATTTTGTTCCCTCTTGTGCTCAAGGCTAACCTAACTTAATTCAGTATCCTTATTGTGAGTGAATGAGTGTTAGAGTAATGTTTATAGATGTTGGTCTAGACCAGGGGTGTCAAACTGCCGGCCCATGGGCCAGATGCGTCATGCCAAAACTGCGGCCACCCCATTGCCGGCAATAGAGAAAAAGTCACAATATGTCGCGAACATCACGTGACATTGCGAGTTTGACACCCCTGATCTAGACTTTTTACTACTTTCAAAATAGAGGTGGAAAAGCAATATCACAAATGCTTCTTTCTCCATGGCTTCCTTGTCTCTGTGCCACTAACTTTCCCTATGCTATCTTACTGCTGTCTTCTGCTACTTAACTAATATGGAATATTGCCAGCAAGCCCCAACCCTGAAACAATTAGTCTGCTTCTTCCATACAGCAAGGGAGAAAATGAGGATGAGCCATTTCTTACCTTCTTGGATTGGGCCTTTTACTTTTAGTTTTTAAAAAATGGATCTGACAGCTTTCCCAGCAACTTTTAAGGGTGTACTAAATCTCTAGCATCCAATTTCTCACCTCCTACAATAAGAGCAGATATCAAAGTTATGTGTAATTCATATCATGGTCTATCAATAGTCACACTTGTCCTGCTTTTCTGGCTACAACTTGGGGATTTCTTTCTTTCTTACTGAGGATCATTCAGTTATGGAATACTCTTTGAAATAATGCAACCAAAGCATTCATTTTCCACCTCTATGAAGATCCTATTAAACTTCAAAAGACTATATTGCATCTCAGAATACCATAGAACCTTGGAGATTAAGATTACAGAAGAAACAATTCAAAGTGATTGGAATTTAAAATTAATTCTTTACAATGTAATTTTATTTTGGCACCCTACTGCTTTAATCATTCTGGCTTCACAACAGGTTGTCTTATAGTGAACCTTAGAAGTTGCTAACTACTTATTTCCAGACCTTCAAAAGAACAATGGTGGTCTTTTGCTTAATCCAGAAGCAATGGACACTCTTTTCCAGACACCCTTACCTTGAACATCCAGAAACTTTTCTGTATTAGCTTTTTACTTGAGTTTAGCTAAACAGCTCATGTCCAGCCAGTTTTTTCACAGCCTGATTAAAACAAAAAACATATGTTGGGTGGGTAAAGAACAGTTACTGAGTTACCATTTAAATGGAAGGTCTCAAATTAATGCCACAAATATGAAATTTATACCTGCTCTCTCTTCCTCAAGATTTGCTTGTCATCATAGTAGACTTTGTAGAAGGTCGTGGCTGCACTTTAACAACGTGATTTTTTTTCTTTGAGAGCAATGTCCTGGTGTTCACCTGAGAGTACTGGGAAAGCCAGCATATGGTTATGGATGTGCCCTGTACGAAACATTTTGGGTGCCTTAAAACTCCTGATCCACAGCAGATAACTCCCTTGCAGCTAAACAATAGCTTCCCATATGAAGTAGCTGAATCCATAGCAAACACCAATAATACCTTGCATCATAAAACAGATGTCTTTGTTTTTACTCCAGCTATTTATTTCCTGATTCCAAATGTAATACACCTCATTTATGCACATTTCTGAAAGAGTTATTTGTCTATGTGGCAAGAAAAAATAATTAAAATATAAAACAGAGTTAGAAGCAAATTATAATCTTTGGCACTGTTTTTATAATTTGCCATGAAGAAGCATGAAGATTACTCTTCTGGGATTATGTCCAGGATGAAAAACATTTACGTTATCTCTCATTTTTGTTTCTAATCCTTTTCAAAATGGTAGAATGATAAGCCTAATTTACTTCTTTGTCAAGCTGTTACATTTTTTAGAGTTGCCTGGTGCTTGTTCCTATTGTGAATTATTCTCTGAAATGCAAGAAGATTTGTTTGTATGGAACATATTCTGAGTAATCAATTCAGTTCTTTTGCTGTGAAGTCAATAATCAGGTAATCGTCTACATGATTCCTTTGTTCTGCTTTTAAGATAATCTTTTCTGTTAACAACTTACTTTTAAAATGGGCTGGATGGAGTTTGTTAATTGCAATGAAATAAAGAAACAGCTAGTATGCAAAAGAGAATGGTACAGTACTAACCTATTAATAGTTGCTGGGCATATAGTTAACAGTACATACACAGTTAATAAGCAAACAGCCTCAGGCTCCTTGAAAATCTATAAATGTGTTAATTTAATATTTTATTTAGGAAATTATTTAATGTATTTATTTTCCCTGGTCAAAAAGTGTTCCAATATCTAAGAGGCTGCCACAAAGAAGAGGGGGTCCGACCTATTCTCCAAAGCACCTGAAGACAGAAGAAGCAATGGGTGGAAATGCATCAAGGAGAGAAGCAGCCTAGAACTAAGGAGAAGTTTCCCGACAGTGAGAACAATTAATCAGTGGAAAGACTTGTCTGCAGAAGTTGTGGGTGCTCCAATACTGGAGGATTTTAAGAAGAGATTGGACAACGATTTGTCTAAAATGGTATAGGGTTTCCTGCTTGAGTAGGGGGTTGGACTAGAAGACCTCCCAGGTCCATTCTGTTATTCTGTTAAAATGCTCATCTATCTGACTTATTTTTTGAAAAATCCTATTTTAGCTGCTTGTCTTGCAGGCTCCCAGAGCGACAGAATGGATGCCGGGACCAATATGAGTTGCCAGCTGCTCATTCTGATTTAAGCTTACCTCAAGGTGCATCTCACCAAAATCAAAAGGGCTGCTGAAACCAAATGATTAAAGCCCTGCCTCCTTTTTAACAGAATAACAGAGTTGGAAGGGACCTTGGAGGTCTTCTAGTCCAACCCCCTGCTCAAGCAGGAAACCCTATACCATTTTTAGATGTATCACAGGCCTCGATCTTAGAGATCAATAGTTAAACAACAATATTGTCCATGAAATAATTTCAACCTGGATCTGCTTGGTCCCAAAACACTTCCCATACATGAAACAGACCTGTATTAGAAGGAAGTTGGTAGTAATCCACTCTCGCGTTTCTGCATTTTAAGTGAGTAGCTTTTTAGGAGGATTGATGTGCTTAATAAAATGGAAGCATCTGATGAATTTTATTGATTAACTTTCATTGTTAGCATATGGCCAAGAACATTGCAAAATACATACTTCTGGTGGAAAAAGTTGTGTATTTATACTGGTATGACAAACTTGTGCATAACATCAGGCCTTGTCCTGAAACTGTCTATCATTAAAGCCTGGATAAATGTCTAATAAAAGCTGTTCATAGCATATTCCATTCTTCCTATCAGCATGATGCCCAATTACTTGGGAAAGGGTGAAGGTCTGTTCCCCCCATCCACTCCTGACAGATATGACCTTTAAGCCCCAGCAAAATGCCAAGCCATAAGGGGACATAAAAATTCTGAACGTATTTGTCTTTTCCATTGTGCAGTTTCAATTCTCATGCAAATGTGTTCTTTTAAGTATTGTGATCGGCCAGACCTGAATGGCTGTTTACTGAGAAGTAAGTTGCACCGAGGGCAATAGGGATTATTCCATGGTTGCATCCCCAGACAAATATAGCACAAGCCAGGTGTGTGCGCGCAACTGGAGTTATTAACAAATAAAGTCAGCAGCTCATCACTTGGTTGAACAAGCAAACAATTTGCCTGTGCTTTGGAGTGAAAAATATTCCAAAATAAAGTGGAGGTAAGGTGGGGGAGAATTATGTTCATCTATTTCCTAAAGTGATGAGAAATTTTAGGAGGGTAGCATTTACACTTCTTGGAAAGTTTTAAGCGGCAAGTTTAAACACTCCGAAAGACAGCCCAAAGGTGCTACTTCTACATCTGGTATTTGCATCTCTATAGTATTCTGCAGTTAGCTATCAGAAATACTACTCATCAGTGGCAGAAAGACACATCAGCAGAGGAAACAGTGGCAAAAGCCAGCCGGGTGACTTTAT